TTCATATTAATTGATGCAAAAAGTGCTGAAATTTCTGTTTTGTTTTGATTTCAAGATCAAATATGGCCAAATATTGTCGTTGCCGGAATCATTGATTTGACATTTCCGTTACCGGATCACTGATCGAACTATCAGCAATTCTCACTTTCACTAATAAACAATGAAATTTTGAATTGTCACAATTTTTCATACATATTCCAGTAATATTAATATTATTCGTCAATTTTCTTCCATTTTTCCTTTTTCCATTTTTCCTTTTTTTTTCTTGATAATTTTAAATCGAAACTTTTTTTGTAAGAATTTCTAAATGTATCGCATATTTAGTAAACGAGTGAATGTATGAATTTGTTTCAGATGTAAATGTTAGATAGTTTCACGCATTTTTGAATAAATATTTCATGTATGCAAACAAAAAAAATTATTTACACTTGAAGATTTATTTCAATGATTTCTTAAGATATTTGAAATATGTGATGATGGAAAAGTCTGACCAGTTAAGTCAAAAAATAACTTGTTGATTGATTTTTATTCATTGTTAATTTCAACCTGAATACATGTAAATACAGAGTAAATACACCGACAAATCTATCGTATAATGATTATTGTTCTGTAATGTGTGCTAAAGCTATTGAAAATCCGTATGTGGAAGTTTTAAGTAGATTATATTTTATGCTTTTTTTTAATTTGCTTGTGATGCTAATCATTGCTAATTAATCATTGTACTTAATTATCAATTTTTCACTTTAGTCATCATGAGCTAATCACTAGTTTATGATGATTAAATGTGGACCAATCATTGCATTTATTTATCATTTTTAATCATTATAATGTTAATAAATATATTCAACCATCGCATTTAGTCTTCACAAGCTAATCGTTGTATTTAATTATCGTGTTTAATCACCATAAGAGCTAATCATTATATAAAATTAATATAAATTAGCCAATAAATATTAATATAAATCCAATATATAATTAATATAAATTATTTAAACATATAATTAATATTGTAAAGTCTATATAATTAATATAAATTAGTCAATATAGTTTAAGGCTTCTCACTGGTATGTGTTTTCATATGTCTCTTCTTACTCGATGAATGAGAGAAACTTCTGTTGCATATCGAACAAACGTACGGCTTCTCTCTGTTATGAGTTCCCATATGGTAGTTCAAAGTTGATAAACGAGAGAAGTTCTTGTTGCATGTGAGACAGTGGTACGGCTTCTCACTGGTATGAATTCTCATATGGATATCCCTGTCGTGTGGCTGAGAGAAATTTTTCGTGCATATCGGACAACTATGCGGCTTCTCACCGGTATGAGTCATCATATGCCTGTTAATATCTATTATGCTATTTCCACATTTATCACACAACAGTTTCTTTTTTGATTTCTTTCCTGCAATTTCTTCTGCACGTTTTCGTTTAACGCTGTCTTCTTTGACTGTTAAATTCATCTTGACTGTCGAATTTTGACTGTCAAATTCATCTGTATTTTTGTTGGCTACTTCGGCTTTCGGCATTTTATCGGCTACTTCGGCTAATAAGCACAAATCCGGCGCTTGTTCTCTACTCAATTTTTGCACTGATAAATCCAACAGCTCTGTTTGTTCCGTTTGCGTCTCCTCAAATTATATGAAATTATCAATCTCATACTGTGTCAAAAATTTGAAATCTTCGAAGTACTGTAGCATTGCATTGTATTTTTAACCTTAAATGAACTTACTGCAATTTGAATGTTGCTCATTTGGAAGAAGAGGAAGACGAAATTGATGAAACGCATATTGATGTAAGTAATTCCTTTCCTATTCTGCAAACATTCAAGTTAACTGGTGCAGTGAATGGTGGCTTATAAGAAGTAAGATCACTTGCTGTTTGACATTTACGTAATGGAAGAATTTCCT